AAATATGCCCTGTTTTGTTGACCTCTGCTCTTCTCTGCCCATAAACTCAAAAAAATAAAGCGTATAAACTATCCCACATTCTAGATCATGATTTTTGACAAAACGTACGTACAAGAGACATACATTAGGGATTAGGATAGATAACAAAATAAATTTAACTATTTTAGGGCATGTTCTCTTCAACTTATTTTTAGTTCAGTTTAGTTCAGCTCCAATCAGTTCATTTCAGTTCTGTAGGGAATAAATTTCAAGCTTTAAATCCCACTAACTTGAACCCCATTGTGATCATACACTAAAGTACGGTGGCGTCCAAAAGGGAAGAAGATAGAGCAAAAGAGTCGCCAACAAGTTTTTTAAGGAACTTGTAAACCATTCACAGGATGAAGGTTACACCCCTTAACGATCCAAGAGATCGTCAAATCCATAAGGTCTTGAACCAAATAAGGGTTCGGGGATGAAGGTACAAATCCAACCTAAAAGAGATTGAACCTGCCCTAATAATAGGCCTCTATTTTATTCTGATCGTATTCATGTGCGCTTTTTAATTAACATGCAATCAATAGGATTAACCCTAAACCTGTTTATCTATGTTGGTTGAATTTAATGCACAAATAAATCTATTATTGGCGATCACTTGAAATTATAATCACAATTAACCCTAAACAAGATTATTAATATCTTATTAAGCGTGATTACAAGTACCAATTCCCTTTAAACATGCATCAAGCAATAAATAATAAATATCAAGCAACACAATAATAAATAATCAATATCATGAATAATAATATCATCATAAATAAAATAATCATCATCAAAATAATAATAATATTCATAATCATAACCCTCATAAATTACAACAATTGTAATCATAATCATATTTATGTTAATATTAAAGCATAATAATAGCAAGATCCTAGGCATGATACTAACAAGATTAATAACAAACCCTAGCATGTCACTAAGCAATAAAAATCAAATCTTTAACCCTAACATGATACTATCAATCATAAATATTAGGAAGAACATAGGAAACATCACAGGAATCATATTTAATATTAAAAATATCCTAGACATGATACTAGGAATCGTAATAACAATGTAAACATGATTTCTACATCATAACATCAATTAAAACCATTAAAGTACTTACTTTGATGCCTCGTACCTCTTTCTAATAACAAAATACACACGTTAGTAACTTCAAGGAAAATAATAAACAAACAATTAAATTAAATAATTGAAAGAGAGATTTGGGACCAAACCCTCAGAAATTAAACCTTTCACGTCTAGGGCGAAGGCAACTTCGAATATGGCTAGGTGTTTCTAGATCTTGCGAATGTGGAATTTTGTATGAAAAAGCAAAGTTTGAAGAAAGAATTGAATGATTAAGAGAATGCTAAAGAATTAATGATTGTAGATGAAAACTTGTGAATGAGGAGAATTGGTGAATGATTAGTGAGAATAGGTGATGGATGAAAAAACAATTGGTTAATGAAAACGGAGTTTTTAATACGATATTTATAGAGAAAATCAGCCAAAAGGATACATTAAACAAAACAGAGTCTGACGCTAAGAAAACAGAGCTGGCGCCAACCCTGGCTAGCTGGCGCCAGGCACCAACACCAGCGCCAGGCGCCAATGGCTAGCTCCAGGCACCAGTTCCAGGCGCCAAGGCCTGGGGTTAGGCTCCAAGCCTGATTTTAACGCGTTTTTGAAAATTCGATAAGTTTACCGTACTGGAGAATAAAATCATATAATTTCTTCGAAAATGCTATTTGATTTTGATTAAAACTCTGAAAAGTCAACAAAAGTCAATTTATCAATGTTAATCGAATTAGGAATGAAAAGAATCTTCTAGAAGATTCTAGAAGACTAAAACCATTCCTAATTGCATTAGGAATGATAAATATTAGGCCCTCCCCTAGATCATTGGGTCGTACATAAAGCTCAAACCGGGCCCAGTTTGGTAAATTGGCCATAACTTCCTCAATATTAATCAGAATTGGGCTTATAATATATCGTTGGAAAGGTCTTTGCAATCCCCATCCAAATACACTACTATTGGACCCATATCATGGACCAACCAAAATGGATTGGCTATTTTCTTAAAATAAGTTTTCAAAAACAGAGAGAAGAGAAAAGAATTAAAAACTTTCCGCAACACTAAACCTTTCCACACTTTTGTTTCATTCGATTATGATTCGACGTGAAAGGTACTCATCGCTGGGTTTGGTTTTGGGGAAACACAAATGGGTGTCTACAAGTTCCTAATTTCCTTCTCTCATAAAATATTCAGTTCAGTTCAGTTCAGCTTCAATTAGTTCAGTTCAGTTCATTTCTGCTTCAATCAAAACAGGCCCTTACTTTTTCATTACAAAAAAAAGTTACATTATCATATTTGGAGATTTGTTAGTGAGGATTATTAAAATAAATAAATAAATTGTTAGTGAGAAAATTCATCAACAAGCAACTAATGCTTATTTCAGATTTTTGAGTTTGATCATCATTTTAAAACTAAGACTATGTTTAGTTCTACTTGTTTAAGTCCTTTAATATACTTATTTCAGATTAAAAAAAAATTAAATTAGATGAAAAAAAAAGTTCAAATCAGATTAGATGAGCAAAAAAAAAAATTGTAAATTAAATACAAACTTTTTAAAGCTACAACTATGTTGATCAATTCAACTAAATATTTGCTTATTATTTCAAAATGAACATTATTTAAGATCATTTTTTTTAAAAAAAATTTATGTTTTCTTATCACTTAAATCTTTAATTTTTACTTCTGTGGTTATAAAGACTTAGTCATATATATTTGGTTAAACGAAGCTACACATATCATTAATACAAATTAAATTCACTACTAGTAGAAAAAAGCAAAAAGACACCCCCTAATTGCCACCGGTTCATTCCAAACCGGTGGCAAAAATAGGCTAAAAAATGGGCGGGTAAATGAACCGGTTATAATGGCACCGATTCACTTCAAACCGGTCGCAAAAACATATAGCCCACCGGTTTAAAGTGAATCGGTGCCATTTATTATTTAAAAAAACCCGCCCCTTAAATCTCCCCAACCCTAACTCACTTTCTCTCTCAGCCGCCTCTTCTCCTCTTTCCTTCTCTCTCCTCTCCTCCTCTTTCCTTCTTGCTCACCCCCTCTTTCTCATCTCCTCCTTCTCTTTCTCATCTATATCTCCTTCTACCACGTCTCCTTCTCCCTCGTGTCCACCACGAAGACCACTGGGACTCCTTCTCTTTCATTCAAAGACCACCACGAACACATGCAACACCGTTCCCCCACTACCAAGACCGTTCTCCTTCGAATTCAATTTCTGGTTTTTTTTTCCGAGTTCTGAGTTTTTCGATTTTGATTTTTTTTTCCAATTTCTGGTTTTTTTTTTCCAATTTCAATTCGATTTTATTTTCGATTTTGATTTTTTTTTTATTTCTGGTTTTTTATTTGATTTTAATAGATTTTTTTTTCGATTTTGATTTTTTTTTTGGTTTGTGGTTTTTTTTTTATTTCAATTCGATTTTAATAGATTTGAATTTCTGGGTTTTTTTTTTTTTTTTTTTTTTCTGGGTTTGAATTTCTGGTTTTTTTCGAAGCTTATTTAGATTAATCGTTTTTTTTTTGTTTTAATTGGTGCAGGTTTATTGATTTAGATCTTAAATCGAAGATCAAGATGCAAGAATATTGATTTAGATGTGTATGGGGTTTATTTATATTATTTATATTGTATTTTTTTTAATTTATATTTTGTAATTGTAATTTTTTTTATTATCTATTGTAAATTTTTTTTGATTATATATTGTAAATTATCGATTATATTGATTGATATTCGATTTATATTTTGATGTTCTTATTTATTTTAGTCGATTTAATTTTTAAGTGAAAAAAGACAAAAAAAAAATTTTAGGGCACTTTTGGCACCGGTGAACCGGTGCCAAAAACAATGAAATAAATTTTTTTTTGGCCATTTTTGGCACCGGTTTACCGCTGCCAATAACCATTTTTGCCGCCGGTTTGAACTGGCTTTTCATGCAAGCAATTGGCACCCCCCAAATTGGCACCGGTTCAAAATTTGTGGCATTGAGGGGTTTTGAACCGATGCCAATTTCGTTTTTTCACCTAGTGATTTAATGACATTTATTTGTATTTTTTTATCTCAAGCATTAGAGTACAAATAAATAAATAAAAATCATATTAAACCAGATCAAACTAGAAAAATTCAAATCTGAATAAATTAGATTAGGTGAACATGAATTGAACATTACAGCATGACCATAGTACGTACCTTACTCGTAAATTGAGCGTGTGGCTTTAAGCAATAAAAAGGATTTAACTTTATGAAACTTTTTTTTTTCCATATTTCCCACAAAAATATTAATTTAATTTTGATGTTTTTTTTGGTGCACAAGAAATTAAATGTTTTTTCAATTGTATATTGATGTCATATTTGTTGGATCCAAATTTCTTTCATGAATTTCTTACAAAGGCAAATGAGCTATTAATTTTACTAAGAATAAAAAACATAATGACTTGATGCTTAAAGATTTCCTGATCTTTTGCTCGTCTAGCTATCCGACACATAATTCTTAAAACAACAAAAACCTTTTTGGCATGTTGATGGCAAGGAATTGCTAAATTTATTTTACATCATTCACTTTTAAACAAAATTAAGATGGCTTAAAATTTGTGCTTCAAATTTCCGAAATGAAACACAATTACATAGAATGTTAAGTTGATTTATTATCTAATTGTCTACCTTGCCGATTGAAATATCTCACCTTCATTGTTGAATGTTGAATGTCAATGATCTAACTTTATTATAGGCCTCAAGTTAAAGTTAGAGAAACTTGATTGGATTACCAATCATGTATTCCTGTACTTGAAAACCACATGTGTTCCTTCCCCTCAATTGGGCAAACAAAACTTAAAATCAATTGGTAAAGGCTGTATTATTATTATTATTTTTTTGACAAAGAGAACTAAGAAACTAAAATCGAAAACAAATAAAATGACGACTACGAGCTAAATTAGTCAGATGATGAGCATAACCAACTTTCGCTCTAGAGACCTTTTGAATGTGAAACCTCTGAAGACCCGCAACAATCTGCCGAATTTCCCGCAAGATCCAAATGACAGAGATAGTATCCGAAGACTGACCCCCAATCAGAATCTTGACTGAACAACAATCCGTAAAAATTCTTACACTGGAGTTGCCTCTATCTTGAACATGTCGCAAACCAAGAAGGCAGGCAAACAATTCAGAATGAAGAGCCGAGGAAGCAAAACCCGCTTGGGCTCCTCCCCCCACAACTGGGGAAGATAAGTCAGAGGATAAAAACCAACCCATGCCAGCACGTTGATCCTTGGCATTCCAAGAGCCATCAGAAGCAAGACAAATGTCATACTGATCAGACGGATCACCCAAATTTAGGTCGTGCAAGGAAGAAACACCAAACCCCGGAGGGCACGAGGGTTGAAAACGATCAGACAATTCTTTAGCCTCTTTACTCCTAGAAACCCAGGAGGCAGCCACAGCATAAATCCCAGCAGGAGAATAAACCTCTGAACGGAATCTAATATTATTCCTAGCTAACCAAATAGCCCAGAAAAAAACTAGGAGCTCATCTAAACCATTCCAATCCTTAGCAGCCGCAAAACCACTAATGGATTCAGCAAACCATGTACTAAAGTCTCGATCCAAGGGCAAAGTCCGAATTACCTCAAGATGGTGAGAAGGCCGGACTAAGCAAGTAAACTCACACTGTTGAAAAATGTGAGAGACCGTTTCAAGATGCTGATGACAAAACCCGCAAGTAGCATTAATAGGAACACCTTTCAAGACCAAGACAGCCACCGTGGGAAGACCATTATGTAAAATTTTCCAAACGAAGATCTTCTATTTTGGTAAAATCGGAAGACCCCAAAATTTCTTCCACCAACCAGGAATGATAGTAGAATTTAATGACCTTATTAACCCAGTTTGATTTAAAACATGAGCGTACGCAGATTTAGTAGTAAATGAACCATCCCAAGTAAATTTCCAATACACAAAATCATCCATTTCTTCATGTGGTCTTTCCATTCCCAAGATGGAATCCGCAATAGGAGGGGGAAAAACCTGTCGAATACGAGTACTACCCCAAGCATGAGAACCAGGATCAATTATTTGCGACACTAAAGAAGGAAGATTAGCGAGGGAATGGAATCCTTGAAACGAACAGAAACCCCCGGAACCCAATCGTCATCAATAATATTGATCTGAGATCCAGAGCCCACCTTCCATCTCACACCTTGAGAAAGAACGCGAGCCCCTTCCATCAAGCTCCGACATCCCCAAGAAGGACGAGGAGGCAAATTAGAAGCTTTGTAGTTTACAAGATGAGGATACCGAGCACGGTAAATCCTTGAAACTAAAAGCTGTGGATGATGAATTAAACGCCACATTTTCTTAGTCAGTAAAGCCGAATTGAAAGAGGGCACATGACGAACTCCCAGACCTCCTAACCCTCGAGGAAGATAGAGGGAAGCAGAAGGAGTCAAAGCTATACCCCTAGTAGAGTTGTTGTTTTTCCACCAAAAGTGAGACAAAAGGCGGTCAATCTGATCAGAAATAGTCGCCGGTAATTTAAAAACCGAAAGAACATGATTTAAAGAAGCGATGACCACTGTATTGATAAGAACTAATTTAACTTGGCTGTTGCCGATAAATGCCGAGAACTAAAAGCAGACAACTTTTGCGTCACCTTATCTACCAAGGATTGAAATTAATGACATTTAGCTCGTCCTAAATCCACAGGGAGACCCAAATAAGAACCAAGCGAATTTTTAGCTTGCATATGTAAGACAGAGCTTAAAAATTCACGATAATCCTCCGGAGTATTCGAACTAAACTTAACAAAGGACTTTTGAACATTAACCATCTGACCAGAAATAGTACAAAATCGGTCAATAACACCCAAAAGGTGAGAACAAGCAGTAGGATTTACCCGGAAGAAAAGCAACGCATCATCTGCAAAAAATAAATGGGAGACCGAAGGAGCTCGCCTGGAAATGCGCAAACCTTGAAATAAACCATTACCCTCGGCCTATCTCAACATTAAAGAAAAAACTTCCATATAGAGGACAAATAAATAAGGAGATAAAGGATCTCCCTAACGCAAGCCACAAGCCGGACGAAGAATAGAAGAAGGCTTGCCATTGATAAGGATCGGGTAAGAAACCGTAGAAACACACTGCTTAATTAGCTGGATCCAATAAGGAGGAAAACTAGAAGCCTTAAGCACATCCCCGAGAAACTCCCAATTAACTCTATCATAAGCCTTGTTCATATCCAACTTCAAGGCAGCAGAGCATATCTTGGAAGTAGAAGAATTCATATAGGATAGCAGTTCATGAGCAATGAGACTGTTGTCTGTCAAGGCAGATTGGGACTCCGAGTTCAGGAGAGGTAAAATTTTTCGTAACTGAGCCGTCATGCACTTAGAAATACACTTATACAGAACATTACACAGACCAATCGGCCGGAACTGAGAAGGGTTATCAGGGTGGTCTACCTTTGCTAATAGAACCAGAAAAGTACGGTTCCAATCTTTAAGCATATAACCTCGAGCAAAGAAATACTGGATTGTAGAGGTAACTTGGGTGCCAACAATCGACCAATGAGATTTAAAGAAAGCAGCCGTAAAACCATTCGGTCCAGGAGATTTATCATTTCCTATATGAAAGATTGCATTCTTAATTTCAGCTGCAGTAAACGGAGCCATCAGTTGCTGCTGATGATGAGAAGACAACATAGGAATATCTAGTTCATCCCAAAGTTCTGGAATATTAGTGGCTGGATTTTTCTGACAATTATATAAATCCGAGAAGTGCTGAATCAGCAGATTCTCAATTCCCATGGGATCAGAAATCCAATTTCCATGATTATCCTTTAGGCTAAAAATTTTATTTCGACGACGTCGGTCTTGAACTGATGAAAGTAGAAGGTGTGAATTAGTTTCACCAAAATCATCCCATCTCACTTTAGATCTTTGTTTCCAATAAAGAAATAAAGTATGAGCCTGAGAAAAATTCTAATCTCGAGTTCAAAGGAAGTGAGAGCCTGCAGTCATAGAGTTTAAAGACAGCGCCCGCGAACCCATAGAATCCTGTAAATCTTTCAAGTCAATACCCCAACTCTTTTTATGCTCCACACACCATCTCAATAACTTATGCCTAAGATGCATCAATTTTTTGGGATAGAACAAACATTTGTGAACCAAAAAGATTAATATCCCAAGCTAAATTTTTCAGTAAGGAAACTTATCGAATATCTAAACACCAGTTTTCAATACGGTAAGGGGTTTTCTTGGGAGAAAGAGGAATCGTTTCCTTTAAAACAATAGCCGCATGATCCGAAAAAAGGATGGGTCGGTGAATTACCATAGCATCTGGATGAGATTCTAACCAGGAGCAAGAAGCATACCCTTTATCAAGACGTTCAAAAGTAGGGTTTCCTAATTGACCATTAGTCCAAGTAAAAGGGGATCCTGTGAAAGGAATGTCAACTAAGCCAGAAGCTATTTTCCAGTTTAAAAAATCATAACGACCAAGGATAGATGGAGCTCCTCCTAGTTTATCAACTAAATACTTTACTTGGTTGAAATCGCCTAATAAAACAACATCAGGGTAAAGGTTTAAAATTTGTAAGAGTTCATCCTAAACCGAAGAACGCAAAGAAACATGAGGCGACCCATACACAAACACTACATATCTTATTGATTGAATAGGAACTACAACCTTACAAAAGATAACATGTGGTGAAATTGAAACAGGAACTACAGAAACCGGGGCAAACAAAAAAAACTACCAAACCCCCGCTAAGACCTAAAGCATCTGAACCGCAAAATCCATCAAAAGCCAAGCTAGATAATTTATCTACAGCAACATTTACAGGAACTAAAGTTTCTATTAAGAACATGAATTCGATCTCAAAAGAGCGGACTAGAGAAGACACATATGGAGCTTTAGGGGAGTCCGCAGAACCTAGGACCCTACAGTTCCAAGATGCCACATTCATGGTGGCTGTGGTGGCCCAGACCGGGGAGCCACCTCACCCTCAGAAGAAGAAGAACTATAAGAAGAATCACCACCCATAGAAGCACCCCTGCGTTTCTTGAAAGGTTTGAGACAAGCTAAAATAGCTGAATTTGCATCATCAACAGTCAACGGAGAAGTAGCAAGTTCATGAGAAGTGGCAGCACATTTAAGAGAACATCCCTATTTTACCCAAGTCCACATTTTATTACCTTGTTTTGATAATTTGAGGCATAGAGGTTTCTTACCCTTGTTCCTCCCTGTTTTGACTGAATCAGTTGAAATTGGTGAAGGTTGAGCTGAAGACCGAGAAGAAATCGGTGGAGAACAGTCCATCGACACTGGGAAATCAGAATCCGCCATCAGAGTATGCTCAGAGGATCCCTGGGTTACAACAAGTTTCTCATTGGAATATTGAACCATACCCGAAGAAGAATCCGCCATATAACTAGAATTCGCCCCTTGATTTCCCAATACTTACCCTGATAAGTCTTGAACAAGAGATGGGATTGGAATAGGAGAGATTTGAGTGTTCTGAGAAGAACATCCCATCCAAGTGCTGTAGCCCGCACCATACGGGTCAGGAAACAGAGGACCAGAAGGCCCAATCGGCGGCGGAGAAAAGCGCATACCCGCCGGAAAGGTCATCTGAGAATAATTCCGGTTGAATCGAGCATAAGGATCCAACTAAGAAGAAACCGGAACAGAGCCATGGGTCGGGTTTCCCACCTGGACATATTTCTTTAGAAGGAGGTGGTCAATTTCTTGAGATTGACTTTAGGTTATACTATTAGGGCTAGAAAAAGTTCTAAGCAACATGGCCTATTAATATTGAAGTAACTAGGATGGTCAAATTGTAATTATTGACATATGTATAGTATATACTATATGTATAGTATATAGGCAAATACTCGTAGTATATATAGCACTAATGGATGGTGTAATGGTATACGAAGTATGGAGCATATATTTTTTAAAATTTAATGATACATCAAATGTTATACTTGTATCATTTTTGAGATACGACGAAGTTTAATATTATCAATGATATTTTTTTTTTGAAAAAAATAAAACATTTATTTTAATGGTACTACATACCTACATCTATTAACCTATACTAAAGCAAATCCTTCCATGACAATTGTAAGTTGACAGAAAGATATTCGGTATTTTATTAACAAGTCCCTCACAAAGGGATGCAGGGGGAACCGAAGCCTGTACTGCAGTTGCCGAGTGTACACCCCCACATAGCCCGGGGGTGGACGGTGAATTATATCGATTTCAACGGGCATTCGGCACCAATACCCATCTTCTTCTAAAATGCCGTAAGTTAATTCCACCTGTTCGGCGAAGTGGTAATCAGCCCCATTCCTGACCCACCAGGTATAGGGGAGGTTCGTCATCAAGCCATAGTTTGCCTCGATGTCCACCCATTCGATGGCCCCGGGGATCAAGTCCCACAGTGCGGCCGCAGGTGCTTCATCCTGGTCAGAGGTGCTTGCCTCCTCTGTTTCACGGGGAGGCGTTGTGTTCAATGGCACGGCGGGAATTCCCTCTTCCCGAGCTGGCTGAGGGTTCTCATCACCTTGGTTGGTGATTCTGTCCCTCGGATGCCTAACGCGGCCACGAGCTCTGCCTCTAGCCATAATTTGGGTCGCCGGAAAATTGAAAGAAAATCGGAAAAACAAAGGGTACTTCGAAAATCAAAGAAAACCGAACCAAATTCGAAGAAAATTACCTTGAATCGAAGCGGAAATTGCGGATCTACAAGTTCGGAGTAACGAATTTTGATTTTGAAGCTCGGTTCTCGAGGAATTAGCGAAGTTTTAAAAGCGGAATCAAGGGTTTGCACAAGTTTGGAGTGTGAATTTGTGAAGAAATGAAGAAAGAGAGTTCGAAATGGGTTATATTTCCAGAAAATTGGAATTCTGGGAGTCCGCTCCTTAATTTCTCTTTAATCCTTCATTAAGTAACCATTAAAACACACTCCCTTTAAATTAACTACCCATTATCCGTTCAACTTCCTCAATTATTATCCAAATGACAGTTATTTCCTTAATGACTGTTTAAAAATTTAAATCTTTTGATTTAATTAAATCATTTAGTTCCCTCCATTTTTAATTAAATCTAAACCCGACCCGTCATTCTTCCAAATCGGGTTTTAGGGGCAAGTTGTTTGGGTCCAATTTAGCCTAATTGAGCCAGTCGATAAATGATTCAATTATAGCCCAAGGTCAAGGGTCCAATTCTCCAATCCACGCCAAGTCAAGTCAAGGGTCAGTCAACGTGGTCAGCCCACTTATAAATATTTTTTAATAAGTAAAGGATAGAAAATTAAGGAAAACCAACTAAAAACCTTCCTATAATTTAAGAGGGGGAGGGAAATTGAAGGGATTGCTTGAATAATAGTTTTAGATTACTTGATAAACTAATTATCCAATAATTAAGCCTTGACAGAAGCAATCAACTGATCAGAGATCTTATGATCAGCTTCAATATTAAAAATCCCAGAAAAGATAGGAGGAGGTATACTAATTCCATCCTTACTAACCGCCTTACTAATTGCAAAATTAATAGTTCTTAGATTCTCAACAATTACGTTCCTAATTAAACTCCTAGCATCATTAAGCTTCCTCTTCCCAACTCTGTCATTTGCCTGGACACCTGCAATTATAATAGCCCTCATATTAGAGCTAACTGTTAGTACGGCATCCCTCGTATTGGAATCCACTTTTTCCGTCTTTTAGTATTTTGTTCACATCTTCTTTGAGCTTTTTAGCATCCTTAACCAAGCATCCGAGCATTTGTTGGATGACATCTACGTCAATTTTAGAGTGTCTGCTATCGCTCGTTAAGCAGCTAAGGCATACACTTGGTGCGTACGTTGCACCGCACATTTTGTTGACTAGTACACCATTGTCGAAGGCTTGTGTGAACGCGATTAGGCAAAGGAGAGAAATTAGTAGTGTTAATATCATGGAGTTTTGGTCATTATAAGGACCCATTATATATAGGAAAAATTACTCCCATTAATCTGAATTTTGCCCCATCCGCCGAAATTAATCCCAACTTTCGTTTATTATCTATTGCACCGAACTTTGGGGGGTATTAATTTCTATTGCACCCAAATGACTTGCAACCGGTTAATCAGGTAAAAATTGTTGACTTGTGATTAATTGCACACGTGTCGCATCATGATAGGCTTAAAAAAAAAAAATTAAAAAAAAACCCACGCACAGCGACCTCCACCACCACCACCACCCTCAATCGCCGTTCACCCTAACCCCGACCCTTAGTTTCACCGGAAAACGGTCGAAGAACCCCTGACTTCCACTTAAAACCATCGGCCTTCCTCCACCACCCATCCCAGACCCCGGAAACAACCTTAGCATAGTTGTTTTCGTGGCTAATTGACGGGGAAAGGGGGTGCCGTTTTCGTGGGAAGGGGGTGAAATTGAGGGTGGGGGAAGGGAAAGGGATGGATTTCGAGGGTGAGGGAGGGATGGGCGCCGTTTTCCGGCAACGGGGGAGGGGTTTTCGGGGGTGGGGGAAGGAAATGGGTGAATTTCGAGGGAAGGGGAAGTGCTGGGCGACGGATCTGGGGTTTTAAGGGTGGTGTTCGATGCAAGGGATGGGTTTTTGGGCCAGTCTTTCTTCGGAATTTTACTGAACGGGTCGATCCTCTCCTCCCGTTTGTTTTATTTTAGCAACCTGTCCTGCCGCTGTTCGTATTAGTTATTCACGATTTCTGCCTTTAATGGTATCGATAGGGGCTTCCTCGAACTATCCGGAGCTTACTATAGAGCCGTAAAGAAGCATCCAAGAAGGGAGTATGACCAGGCACTCTCTTGGATTTCATGGTTTGGAGCAAGCTCAGCTTTCCTTTCACTTGGCACGAGACACCGTACGCTACACAGAAGAACGCTACTACTACTGTTACTGTGAGCGGTTCAAATTCCAATTTTGTTGATCTTTCCCAATCATTCTGGCCGGAACTTGTACGCAGCACTTGTTAAAGGTGGGGGAGGGGTTTTCGGGGGTGGGGGAAGGGGTAGGGTGGCTGGGCGGCGGTTTTCGATGGCGGGGGGAGGGGTTTTCGAGAGGGGGCTGAAATTCCGGCGGGGTGGGGGTGGGGGTGTGGTGTTTTCCGGGAAAGGGTAGGGGGTTGGGTTTGGTAGGTTTTTTTTTCTTTTTTTTTGGAACTATCACGTGTTGACACGTGTCTAGGTAACCTGCTACATCAGGTTGGCTGACCTGTTGGGTGCAACGAAAATTAATACCCCCCAAAGTTCGGTGCAATAGATAATAAACAAAAGTTGGGATTAATTTCGGCGGATGGGGCAAAGTTCAGATTAATGGGAGCAATTTTTCCTTATATATATATATATATATATATATATATATATATATATATATATATTATTATATATATATATATATATATATATATATATATATATATGATTTGGTGAATGAGAAAATCTACTTAATTTGTAAATTTAATTAAAAATATGGAATTATGCAATGCATTATCAAATTAATATGATCTCTAATTACTAAGTTAAAGTAGATGAAATCATGTAATTAATAGGGAGGTAAAGATATATTGGGTAAGGTACAGTAATTGGCGTGCACAAATCACGTCAAGCCTAAGATTAACTTATGATTACATTATTGTGAGATCAATAATCAATAATATTCTTTTAATCCATTTTTAAATCACTTAAAAAAAAAAAGTATCCTTCATGAATGATTACTTTAATTTAGCAATTGTGGTCTTATAATAGGGTGGTTGATTCCTTTTACAATAGTTGTATCGTTACTATCGCTGAGAAATAATAGTTATACAGCTTCACGTTGTAACATAATATACAAACATTCCGAAAATATTTTCACATAATTTATATAATCAATGCATGTAAATTCAAAGCATGGCATGATAAGAGGACATGAGGTTTTTAAGCCAATGTCATTAAATAAGAAGATATTGTCACATTTCTTAATGTAGTCTTCAATTTAACATAAAATGGATATGAAAATATGGCCAAAGGGTAAAATTATTTGGATTTCGCATTGCACCCGCTTGGCCTGGTTTAAATTGAGCCATAATTCCACTTAAATCTAATCAAATTAAACTTCATTATTTTCTTCTCGTAATCGATCATAACTTAATCATAATCATAACTGTATGGGATGATATGTGACGAGGGCTGATATGCTCTAAAAAGCAGAATGATATGTGTCGAGGGCTGATATGATCTAAAAAGCAGACATATCGACCATGTAGGCTCTTCGGGTGGCAGTCTTATCATTGACACTTGGCGAGAAAAGCCTTGCATGTCCTTATAGCCACCTGTCACGAAATTTATTATAAATAGTAGATTAAGTTTCATTAAATGATAAGCATTAATTACTCTCTCTCTCTCTACTTTCTCTCTCTTACTTACCTTCTCTTAAACACATTCTAATTTTATCATCGGAGTGGTTATCCCCGGATCACCCCGGGGTTAGCTAACTTCTGCTCATTGTGTAGGTTCTCAGCTTGCCAATAGGAGTATCAGGATCTCGGGTTCGGGTTCTCGAGCTATCGGATCCAGACAGAAACAATTTGGCGCTAGAAGGAGGGGACCAGTGATTACTTCTATCGCCTAAGAACCTAGCACACAAAAGTAATGATAGTTATGGCCGAAAACAATGCAACACCGATAATAAGCAAAACGGTAAATCGACCGATTATAACACAGCCAGAAATTGAGGTAGAAGACGAAACACATACATTAGAGGAAAATCAGTTCCACATGCCGTTAACCCCGGAGAGGCAAGTGGGAACGACAGTAGATCCCATGGCGGAGTTTACGCCAGAAGAATTGCAAGTAGCATCGAGAGTAATGACCGCAATGAGAAAAAAAAGAAAAAAGGCCGAAATGGCTCAGGCAGAATGGGGGTGCCGCTAGCTAATCATGGTGAACAATCCAATCAAGCAATGAGTTCACCAAGGCACCGCCGGGAAGAAACTCTGGTAAGGACACATACCACACCGCGTCATATAGAGGGGCAATCGTCAAGCCGTACTGTGATTACAAGAACCCATCAGCAGAGGAGTTCCCAGGTTAAAGGGCAGGTACCGCGCACTGTGGTACAATTAAGAGCATCACCATTTGCGCAAAGCATCTTGGATCAGCCGATGGAAAAGATCAAGATGCCGACATGTAGGTATGACGGAAGAGGAGACCCGAGTAGATTCATAACGTCATACGAGGGGCATATAATGCTTTACACAAATTCAGATGTTGTGTGGTGCAAGGTCTTTCCGACTACATTAATTGGAGTTGCAGCCGATTGGTTCAACAATGTGGAAAATGGGATGATAGATAGTTTCGAAAAGTTAACCGAGATGTTTATAGGGCAGTATGTTATCAACAGCGTGCGGCAGAGAACATCAGGGGAATTGATGGCAGTAGAGCAAAGGGAAGATGATTCTTTGAGGGATTACATCAGGCGGTTCAACAATGAGGAAAACACAATTCCAAAGTTGCAGCAAGAGATAGCTGTAATGGCTCTCATGAACGGCCTGAATGATTCTGAGTTCAAGCGTTATCTTACACGAAAGAACTTCTCGATGCTGGCAGCTGCATTTAACAAGGCCCATGATTATATCAAGAGTGAAGAATTGATGAAAACAAGTAGTAAGAGTGTAGCTGCTGGTAAGGGTCAGCATCAGTATGAAGGGTCGGCATCTGGAAGTGGAAGGCCGAGAGCTCCGATCCCAGGAAGGGGAGGGGGAAATCGACAGGAGTTCAGAGTTGCAAAACCTCCAATGCGATATAGTTCATACACGCCCTTGAATACACCAAGAGCAGCGATTTATTTAGTTAATCAAAATAGAGAGGAATGGACAAGGCCGATTCCGATGAAGGCAAGACCAAGAGATGCTAAGAAGTACTATATGTTTCATAGAGATGTGGGTCACTATACCGAAGAGTGCACGCAATTGAAAGACAACATTGAAGAGTTGATAAGGAAAGGCCACTTGACTCAATATCGGTTAAGTGCAAGAGGAGCTCAACCACCTCAAAGGCAGATAGAAAGGCACCAATTGGAAGCAAGGCCTGAAAGGTTACAAGGAGGAGTGGTCCGACAGGGAAGTGACGGAATGCCTCCCGTCTCAACTAGAAGGAGGGTAGATGTGATAACTGGAGGGCCGGTTCATGGAGGAACAGTTAGCGGGGCCAAGAAGCATCTGTCTGAGCATCGTCACATTATCAATGCCCTGGATACCGACAACCGCCCTCGGCCAGCATCAATCCCAGATCTTGTATTTACAGAAGAAGACGCTAGGGGCATTGTATTTCCACATGATGACCCACTGGTGCTCATAACAAAGATTAATGAAGCTGATGTTAAGAGAGTCCTAGTGTATGGGGGCAGCTCTGCAAATGTCTTGTCATGAAAGTTTTTAATGAAATGATGATTGGGAGGCAGTATTTGACGTAGGTATCTTACCCAATTATTGGGTTTAATGGGTCGACAGTGAGACCAGAAGGAAGCATAGTCTTACCGGTACGGTTGGGTGATGGGCCGAGTGCGAGAGATGTGATGGAGGAGTTTTTGGTGGTCAATGTCCCGTCAGCTTATAATGCCATTATCGGCAGACCGATAATACATGATGTACAAGCAGTTGTATCGACATACCATTTGACAATAGCTTACGTATCAAATTTAGGAGTTGTTGAAAAGGTTCACGGAGGGCAGGTGATGGCAAAATCTTGCTATGTAACAGCTTTGAAAAATCCATCTGGGGAGGATGTGTGACAGGTTAAAGTCATATCCCCTAATCAAAAGTAAATAACTAAATCCTCTAATAAAGTAGATAGGGAAGTAGGGTCGATCTCCACAGGGAAACAAGTCTTTTTACTCCTAATTAATTATTATAATCTAAATTATCTAAGTAACCAATATTTATATTTGAGTATGAAACTAAACTACAAAGAATAGGAATAGGGAGAAAACAATATATAAAAGGATCTAGGGCATAGGTTCACCAATAAATAATACTCCAGGGTAAAACATAGTAATCAATCATTGACATTGCATAAATAACATGATTAACAGGCTCTCGCAATTTATTAATCAACATAGATCTAACAGGCTCTCGCAATTTACTAGATCTAAGTTCTTATTGAAACTAGCCTTTAATATCAAATTAACATCTGCTCGATTCATCAATTTAATATTGCTATACTTTTACAAGCCGCAATTGTAAAACATTAAAACAATTCAATAAGAAATTATCATGCAATACCAATAATCAATAATAGTCAATCATTAATGCATCAATTAACCAGATTGTAAAGGGCTTTCGCTACGTATTACAATCACACAATTAATTTACCGGTATTAAATCTCATCTCTCGAATCTCGACTTAACCATTTATAAATTAACCTGCCTATTGAAACTAGACCTAAACATCAATTCTCATCTCTCGAATCTTGAATCAATATTGTCAAACTCATGCATAAAAGATAGGCCTAATCTAGTCACAGAGCATTAAATCAATCAATAGAAAATTAATCTAGCATTGATAATCAACAACAATAATTTACCCCTTCATATTATTTATTAGATCCCCATAAACCCTAGAAATTAAACTACTCACAAATCATCATGACTAAACTAATCAAAGTAATAAAGCAAGACATGATAAAAAGAATAAAGTAAATAACTAAGATTAAGAAAAGAGAAATCGAAACCAAAATAAATCTGGAATTAAAGGAAGAATTAAGGACAAAGGTTTAAGAGAAAAGAAATCTAAGAGAATAATTAAGAGAGTAAAGAAAAGTAAAAAGGAGAAGAAGAAGTGATCCTAAAAACGTATTACGGAGGAGTATTTATACTCCGTACAAAAATCCTAAACTAAAACAAATTAAAACGACGTTAATCGTCTACTAAGAAATACACGCGCCCGATCGGGCGAGGCACCACCCAATCGGGCGCGCCTTTTTTATCACAGTACAAATGTCGCGCCCGGCCGGGCGCGTCACCGGGCGCCAGACTAAGCTTCTCCCGCCCGGCCGGGCGCGCCTCGGGAGCCAGCCTCTTTGGCCGGGCGACTCATTTGGGCCACTATTTGGACTTCGATTGGGCTCCAATTCTTCGGGCCAATCTGGGTTTCCTCTTTGGGTCTTGAATACTCGGTCCAAATGCCCCGGTATCACCTATACCGAGCCCTTAATCACCGGTTTGATGGCTCTAACCGGCCCTGGGCCATTGAATCTGGTCGTGCTTCTCTAATGCTCGTGATTGCTCCAAAATATCTCGGGAAAATACTCCAAAAGCATAAATCCCTGCAAAAGTCAACCAAATCTACGAAGACACTAGAAAACACCAATTAGTAATAAAAGTGGCTCTAAAGAGCCAAAAACACTACCAATTATGACCAAGGGACGGGGGTAAAATACTATATAAAATATACACATCAATGTGGTAATAAGTAATCCTAAGAAAGAGTTGGAGCCAACGGTACGAGATCTGGCCATGAGTAACTTTGACACTAGGCCGAAAGCAACTCCAAGGCCATTGCCGGGAGGTGAAACAGTGCAGATAGAGTTACAACCAGGAGATCCCAGTCGAACAGTGAAGGTTGGGGCAGATATGGATGTAGACCTGAGGTGTCATTTGATAAGTTTGTTGCGTGAAAACGCTGATGTGTTTGCTTTCTCGGCAAGTGAAATGCCGGGAATCCACCCTGGTGTAATGGAGCATAAGTTGAATGTCAACAGAGGATTTAGGCCTGTAAGACAGAAAAAACGGAATTTCTCCACTGAAAAGATAGAGGCCATAGAGGCAGAGGTTAACAAGATTTTAGCGGCAGGGTTTATATAGCCGTGCACATATCCGGAGTGGTTAGCAAATGTTGTTATGGTGAGAAAGCCAACGGGAAAGTGGCGAATGTGTGTGGACTATACCGACTTGAACAGGGCTTGTCCTAAAGATTGTTATCCGTTGCCTCGGATAGATAGGTTGGTAGACTCTACCTCTAGTCATGCAATGCTCAGTTTTTTGGATGCTTTCTCAGGTTATCATCAAGTCAGTCTTCATAAGGCAGATAGATCGAAAACGACTTTCATCACAGATGTGGGTGTATATTGTTATAAGGCAATGTCGTTTGGGTTAAAGAATGCAGGAGCAACTTATCAGAAGTTAGTTGACAAAATTTTCGAGAAACAGAAGGGCCGAAATGTAGAGGTGTATGTAGATGATACAGTTGTTAAGAGTAGAGAAAAGAAGGATCACATAGACGATTTGAAGGAAACATTTGAAACATTGCGGAAATATCAGATGAAGTTGAACCCGGAGAAATGTGTCTTTGGTGTTCGGTCAGGAAAGTTCTTGGGTTTTATGGTTAGCGAACGGGGAATAGATGCTAATCCTGATAAGGTGAATGTAGTGCTTGAGATGAAACAACCAAAAACTATCCGAGATATACAATAACCGGAAGGATGGCAGAGTTAACTCGGTTCATCAGTAAATAAGCTGACAAAGCACTTCCGTTCTTTGTGATGACTTTAAGGCAGAACAAAGCATTTGAGTGGGGAAAGGAACAAAGGGATGCACTAGAAGTCGTGAGAAACCATTTAAGGTCCCTTCCAACAGTGGAAAGGCCGGAAAGGGGGGAGTTGTTACAATTATACATTCGGCTTCCCCAAAGACGATAGCTGCAGTATTACTGATAGAAAGGAAGAAGATACAAATGCCGGTGTATTTTGTCAGTCATGTTCTAAGTGCGACTGAGCGAAGGTATCCGGTAATAGAAAAAATGGCACTGGCAATGGTCACAACAGCTAGAAAGTTGAGGCCGTATTTTGATTCACACCCGATAGATGTCTTGACAAACCATCCAGTGGAAAAATCTCTGCGCAAGATGGATACATCAGGTCGGTTGCTAAAATGGGCTGTGGAGCTGTCGGAGTATGAGATAAATTATAAGCCCAGGGTTTCAATAAAGGCGCGGGCCTTATCAGACTTCATTGTGGAAACCACCTACAATGATGAAGAAGAAGAATTGGGAACTTGGCAGGTTTCACTGGTTTATAATCCTATACTTATGATATAAAAAAAAAACTAATGACAAGTTTTAAGCTTAAATGTTTAAGATACAAAAATTTTAAATGTATTAAGTACTTACAATTAGCTTACAATATGGCAGGTATCAGTAGATGGATCTGCAACATCAACTGGTTCAGGGGCAAGGATAGTGATAACAACCCCACATCAGAAAACTTTTGAGTGTGCAATCAAATTCAAGTTCAAAGCCACCAACAATGAAGCTAAGTATGAGGCAGCCATAGCAGGGATCCAGTTGTCAATGGCAGCTGAAGCAAAGCGAATAATTTTGATCACCGATTCTCAGCTAGTATCCAGCCAGTATACAGGAGAGTATGAAACAAGGGAGCCGACAATGATAAAATATACTGAAAAAATGAAGCAATTAACGGCACAGTTGCAGTATTTCGAAATCAAACTAGTGCCGAGAGCACAAAATGCGTAGGCTGATGCTTTGGCGAGGTTGGCATCCTCAAGTTTTAATGACTTGGAGAGAACAGTCATGGTGGAGGTGTTAAGACAAAGAAGTATAGAAGAAAAACCAGAAGTGTGCTGTGTCGATAACGGCATACAATGGTTTGACAAGATACTAGCATACTTACTATATGGAGTTTTACCCCCAAATAAGGAAGAATCAAGAAAACTGCGTAGGGATAGCGTGTAGTTCATAATGTATCAAGGCAGCTGTACAAGAGAGGATTTTCTTTGCTGTTACAAAGGTGCGTAACGGATCTTGAATCTGTAAAGATAATTGAGGAGATACATGAAGGAACCTGCGGAAATCATCTTGGGGCAAGAGCATTGTCGCTGGAAGCAATGAGAAGAGGATATTACTGGCCGACAATGAATGAAGATGTTGTTAAGTATGTGAAGAAATGTGAGAAATGTCAGAAATTTGCGCCCGCTATCAATTTGCCACCTAATGATTTATAACCGATACTTAATCCAGTCCCTTTTTCACAATGGGGAATGGATGTAGTAGGGCCGTTTCCCTCGGCGACGGGTAGAAGGAAATTTCTCATAGTAGGGGTGGATTATTTTACAAAATGGATAGAGGCGGAGCCAGTAGTAAAGATAACAACGTCGGAGGTGAAAAAGTTTATTTGGAAAAGTATTTTTACGAGATTTGGATTGCCGATGGCAATGGTCTTTGATCATGGATCTCAATTTGATTGTAAACTAATAAAGGGTTTGTTATCTATGTATAAGGTGAAATTTGCATATGCGGCAGTCGGTCACCCGCAATCAAACGGCTAGGCGAAATCGGCAAACAAGCAGATTATAGGGGCAATAAAAAAGAAAATAGAAGATGCAAAGGGTTTATGGGCTGATTTGATACCGGAAATTTTGCGGGCAAATAGAACTACAGTGAGAGAAGCAACGGGAGAATCTCCATTCACATTGGTGTTTGGAATAGAAGCGGTGGTACCGGAAAAAGTAGGGTTGCCAACATTCAGAATTCAGCATTACTGTGAAGACCAGAATGATTTGCTTTTACGGCAACAGTTAGATTTTCTCCCTGAAATACGAGAAAAGGCAGCAATCAAATCAGCCGCCTTCAAAAATAGAATGTCAAGGGCATATAATAAAAGAGTTGCATATCGGCCATTGAATAAAGGAGATTTGGTGTTGCGACGAACAACGGCCACAGGGAAAGGAAATGAAGATGGAAAGTTAACGGCTAATTGGGAAGGGCCATACATGATAA